GGGTGTGGGGGGGAGGGAAACAGTTAAAATGCAAAAGAAAAGTCCTATTTAAGTTTGTCAGGTCAAAAGCTTCAGGATTTTGGTGGCCCTGCTGTACTGTGACTGAAGAGTCAAAAATGTGCAGTCATCATAGCCCTGAAAAATGAGCCCTTTAATTTTTGGCAACATCTGCCCTTCCCAGATAAATTTCTACCCAAAATCTCTGAGAGTGTCCATAAGAGGCAAACATTACAATCTGAGATTAGCAAACTCTGAGACTATGGGATATCAACATACAGAATAGGGCTCTTGAACTAACCAGAGATCGCTTTCAGCCTATCACTGGGAAGAAAATAGCTTATGCTTATGCCAGTCTGGTCTTTGCTTATCCACATTCCGGGCTTCATGCCTGAATACATCAAGTTACTTTTATTTCTCAAGAAGGAGTCAAGTGGTTCCTTCACCATGTTTTTAGATTAGAGTTCACACAAATGCCCTTGCATTTTATCCCTTTATACCATTTAGATAACATGAAGGAACTTTAATTAGATTTTTCTGTCCACTTTAAGGTCTGCTGACACTCAATTCAGTTAATGTCCTTCAAGGCTCATTTTTGCTTGTTGTTGTTTTGTTTTGTTTTGTTTTGTTGGTTTTTTGATTTTTGCTTTTTTGTTTTTCCAAAGCATGAAATAGGGAAATGTTATGGAGAAACTAGAATAAATTTAAAAACAAAGCAAAACAAAACACAAAAACCCACAACAGTCTCTCTTATACAAGTAAGATGTTCTGTGTCTAAAAACAAGCTTTCTGATTGCCAGTTCATTCTGCGTAGTTCAGCTATGGTTTTTGGCATAGAGACTACAAGGGCTATTGCCTGGTGTGTAGAAGCTCATGTTTCACTGCCATTGACCATCACAGAGCTATTGTTTGCAAAACTGTGCTATTTTCCCACCCAAAACTGACAACACACTGGCTCCAAGTGTTTTGCACAAAGCTAGCACCTGTTAGTACAAATGTAAGATGTAAAAGCATGCTACAGTTTCTGCTAAAATGTTCAAAGTTCTGCATGCAATGGGCATGCAGACTCCTTTCCCTTGGCATGTTACTAGATATCCCAAAGCAACTAAATGAGTTATAGCCTGTAATTCATTCAATAATATATTGCTGGTGGTGCTGCATTCTTCACAGCCTGGGTTGGTTTTTTTTTTTTTACTGTAAATTGGCTGTCCCTATTCCTTAAAGGCTTTGAAAAATCTTGCTTCAATCTCTTTCCCCTGTGCTGCTAATTGTTATCAACAATAATTTGCCTGTTATGACTGGAAATGTATTTGGATAATGCAAACACATGGAAGACAGAATGAAATTAATGAATGTTTGTAATGGGTTTTTTTGAAGACATGGATCTATTTTCTAATGAGGAAATATTTAACCAACAAAAAAATGCTTGCATCTCTGTGAAATGACATTTGCTTCAAAGCTGGTAAAATGAATGCATGCAAAACTGTTACTGTACTTGTGTATAAAGCACCCAGTTGCCTTCTAATCGGAGTTGTATTTTCTGTGATTTATTTGTTGACAGAAACTTGAGCATTACAAAGAAAATATTTTACCCCTGAAATTACAATATGCTAGTCTTTTAGTAATAGAGGTTGACACGTGCAGTTTTTGACATCTAAATCATTAGAATGTAGAACACAGTCTTTCCAAAAATGGACGGAAAGTTGGGTGGGCAATAGTCCATAATGATTCATGTTTGCCTGTTTCTAGTCAGATATGTAGCTGGTTGTGTTTTGAACAGCTGCTCTTCCTGAGGTTATGCTCTGATTAAAAGAGATGTGTTTTTTCAATCCATTTTAAGAAACAGCTAGAAATAAAGAAAAAAGAGTATGGAAAACAATATGGGAGCTTTTTTATTCTTTTTTTTTTTTTTTTGATTTTTTTAAAGAATAGAAAGCAATGTTCTCAAAGACTGAAAATAATTCCGTCTGTCAGAAAGCTGAGTCAGGGTGCTTTGTGTAATGAGACCAAAAGAGATTCCACAGATTAGATTAAGGTCACTGAATAATTACTTATTTTACAGAAATATGGTCTAACATCTGACGTCTTATTCAAGGAAAAATATTTCTCCTGAACCTGGAATTAAATATTGACATCAAGGAGGTCTATGCATTATCTAGTACCTGTGACTCAGAGCTAAAATCCATTATTTGAATTTCCAAATGTTTTTCCTCAATCAATCACCTTAGTGAAATAAGTGTACATAACACCTCCAAATAACAGATTTATTATGTGGATATTTTTTTTTTTTTTTTTTGTATCTGTAGTAATTCAGGGAGACAAACCTGAGAAACAAGAAAAAATTGAGAGGAAGGAACCTCTAAAGGGTATGTATTCAGTATGTTTCTTGTCTTTTTGCCAGTGGTTCAAAACGAAGTAATCTGTTGACTTTTAGACCCTTCTTGTAAACCCCAATTACATTTAAGGATGGAGGAGGTGTGAAAGCCAGCTGGAAGGAGAATTAATATTTTAAATGCACTCTGAATTCATTGCTCTGCAAAAGGCTAAAATTATATTGAGACTTATGATTAAGTTTTTACTGTATTTTTAACTTACGTAAAAGATGCCCAGAGCATAAATAAGCATCTTTTTATTCTTCTTGAATAAATCCAAGCATAATATTAATCTCTGGGAATATTTCTAAGCAAAATGTAATGAGTAAATTGTAACACAAAGGGCGTGGTCCCTGGAGGCATTTTGCTCCAGAGACCTGCCTTAGACAAAAAAATTTCCCCAGACTCATTTCAGAGATGTTGGGGAGAGGGTGTTAGAGATGATTTACTAATTTGTTAGTGTATGCCAGCAACAAATTACAGATCCACCTGTTGTAAGAGTCAGAATCAGATACTGCTTCCTCTCCACCCACAACTCATGAGTTAGCTCTGGGATCCAAAGGCCACCATCTAGTTTGCCTGTTGTGAGGGATGTTTTGGCAAAATGGCATTTGTAGAAATACACCTACTGTCAAAACACTTTAAGCCTTCTGAGAACATGTCATTTACATAAAAATGTGATTAATGAAGTTTCAAGGTGGAAGAAGAAACCCATTCTGGAAGAACAGATAGGCCAATGGTCATAATAAATCACCCAAAAAAGAGCAGACCCAATATCCAGCTGCAGCTGATTTATTTCAGACCAAGAACACAAGTCTCACAATGAAATTGAACATGCACCTTCCTGAAATCTGTTCTTGACTAGGCTTTCCTAATGGTCTCTGACTGGAGAGATTTCCATTTTTTATAAATAATTCAAAATACATTGAGTTAGTAAGATGGACTCTCAAGGTTAATGGCAGGCCCATAATTTCAGGTTTGTGTTAGAATTAATATTTATTAATAGAAAATAGAATGGTGGTAACATGAGAAATTTTTTCTGAGATTTCGAAAAATGACAGAGCAAAGACAACAATGCCTCATATTAAAACACGAGGGTGTCATTAAGACTTCTGTTATTTTGTGGAAAATTTGGGACACTCTTCAATTTGATTTGGTAGGAAGACAATATTTAATGTTTTTAAAAGCTAATAAATGAAAGCCAATCTCAGATAGCCAATGAAGAAGAATAAGTATTATTATACTGCCTTAATTCATCATAATTCCTACTAATTTTCTAACTGTATTTTATCTTTAAGTGAATATATTAGTGTTGTTTAGTGAACTATCACTACAATTGCTACTAACCCAGTACTGCATATAGAGAATCTCTGTATTTACAGTACTAAGAAACATTGCTTTCAGACTGTACTTTATATTTTAAAACTATGACTATGGGATACATGTTTTTTTAAGGCCCATTTCATTGTAGTGTGACTGGGAAACTCCAAAGTTTCACTGCATCCCTGCATTTCAACTGCTTATTTTCCACTTTATATACATTTGCTTTTCAGGATTCAGATAACAGAGAGCAAATAACATGCTATTCTAATTTCTAATCAACTTCTATGATGAAGTTTAGGAAAGTTATCTAATGACACAGAGAATAATTAGAAGTGTCTCAGTCACCAGTGACTCAGCCAGCTATGTCAGGAACTCATTCTCATATATTTCATCACTATATTTCTAAAAAAATGTGAGAGTCTGAACATTTCCTACCCTTCTTGTTTTGCTTCAGTTAGACATGGAATTCACAGTACTGTAAAAGAACTTCCTTATTCTTCTCATTTTTTGCAAAAGGAGTTTTACCAAACTTCGATGCAATGTCTACAGGAGTAAAAGTTAAAGCTAGCTTGCAGTTTCACAGCTCATTTTTCTGAATTGCTCTAAAATCCACATGCTTATTTCCCATTGTCTGGAAAATTAATGTGTAAAATTCTAAGAAAAGTGAGAGGAAAATGTTCTGTGAATAACTGGTAGCATAATACGTTTTCCACTGTTGTAATGTTAGTTTTTACTTTACACCTACTGGTCATCTAATTATGGCTCTGACATCATCATTGACATGGCCTGATCTCAGCTAGTGTCTATTACAAGCTATCCATATCCATTACTGGTTATCCATTTTAAGCCAGCTGGCAAGTGACAGAGATGTCATTTATGCATGTGATGCTCTTATGCTCCAGGACTGATTCCAGGGTTTTCACAAGCCTCTGCCTAACAGTATGGGGAGGCCCAGGTGGTGTCCTCTTCCTAGTGCAGACAGCAGCATTTACGGTAAGCTCTGCTTTAGTCCTTGACAGTTTTCTGAAAATCTCTCTCCAGGATTGAACAGACAATTGCAAGTGATGATATTGCTGTAGTAAACAGCTAAGGCATGTTACGGTGGCTTGGATGGTAAGCAGTAACTCCCTGTCCAGAGTTGTCTGCTTACACCAGTGTAGTATGATGTGTAGATGTGCACTTCATAGCTCAAGAGTAAAGCAGTCTGCATTTTGTCTCCTAAGGCTTATCTTGGTAGAATTATTTTTGATTCTTAAGTTTTTCCACATGTTTTTTTTAACATGTATGAACACATTTCTTCTTTCCTAGTGACACATAAAAACATACTGGAAAGACAAGAAAAACCTGAAAAAAAGGAAAGACATGCAGGTAATGATTTAATGTCAGAATTTATTTTACATTTTGAGGTATCCCAGAACTAATTGTCTAATCAATTTCCATTTGTGTATCCCCTTGATTGGAAAAAATGTTATAGAACTTTACGAATTCATGAAATCATATAAAGGTTTGCAGACATATAGACTGAGTAGCAGTTTGTATTCCATCTGCATGTTTATCGTGTTTTTTTCTGAGGAAGGGAGATAATCTCACAGTAATCTCTGAGTATTTCCAATCCTCACAGTAATTATGGTTGCTAAAAGAGTATGGTCATCCTGGAAAAATACCTGACAACCTGTAAACGAAGATAATGAGGCAGGCCATGTGAAAAAAAATGTTTTAAATATGATACTGAGTAGGGCTGTTGCATAAGTACTGGGCCAGGCAGGACTAAGTCTTTAAGTAGTTACTTGAAATAAATAGGTATACAGCACCACTTTATCTTCCACAACTTTTACTTTCTTTTGAAGCACCAGCACAAGGCTGGAGAGTACATAGTAATGCTCATCAATACATTTTTTCACTCTTAATATAAACTCATATACCGTAGTCAAATAGTGGTTTTACACACCTGGTCCCTGATGGGTACCTCAAGCAATATGAACACATGCAAACATCAGTTCTGCACAGACATGGACAAGTTATTTTGTAAACATTAATTACAAAAAATTGGCAAATCAGAGCCCATATAGGAGAAAATTCTAGACTTCCACAACTCGGGTGCATTCTGAAACATGAGCCAGAAATCTAGTAACTACAGTGTACTTTATTTCAATTTGTGAAGTGGAAATTAAAAGCAAACAAAAAGCCCCAAAGAACATTAGTTATAATGCCATTGCAATTAAATTTGTAATTAATTATAGTGTTTAATCATTCATAGCTAGGAAAACTGTTAGTTGTTATGTGGAGTTTAGAAAATCCTTCAGAATGAACCAAAGCCATAACCAAGAAAGCTCAAAAATAAAAATAAGCCAAAATCAATAATAAATGACAGTATAAACAGAACAAACCAAAACGTCAACAACAACAACAACAAAAACAGTAAACAATGTAAATAAGCATGGCTCTTCTTTACTAACTTCTTTCATGGGATTACAATTGTGCCAGAAAGGCCACTCCTCTCCCATCTGATGGTAGAAACCTCAGGGATTGTAGACAAGTTTTTGAAAGTTCCAATCACGTGTTTTGGCATCAACAGCAGACAGCAGCAGCTGAATCAGTATTTCTGGTTCTTTGGATGGATAGCTGTGGTGCCTAGTTGTGTTTCTCAATCTTTCTTCTAACTTTTCTGGCTTAAAAAGCAACATTTCTCTCTTTTAATAACCATTAATGTTGTTGTTATGTATTTCTAGCTATTCAGAAAGAGAAACCTGAAAAGCCAGAAAAACATGAAAAGAAAGCACCTTTTAAAGGTAATGGTGATTTTGATATTAGGTTTTGTAAAATTTTTTGCATTTCAGTGGTTATATAGTTTGGGAGAGTGTGGAGATGAGTATTTAAAGTATAAAGCTCTTCTAGTTCAAGCTGTATATTTTTTGGATGCTCTGACTTTTGCTTGATCAGGTCTTGATCAGCCCATGAATAAAGTCTTGCTCAGAATACACTTCTTGCTTAGTTCTCTTGCTTTGATACACAGAGATAATTCTGAATCATTCTTGTGCAGCTAAAGAAATAAGCCTATGACTATAATGTTTGCATTCCATGATGTCTTTTCCTCCACAATGGGATTCAGTAATTTACTTGCAAAGGCGACTTTCTCTTGTGTATCAGTTTTCAGTCTGGTGCCAACCTAATGCAAGAGTGTTTACTGTCTCTCAGTCAGGATCTTCTATCACATCCAAAAATAGATTTTCATTTTCTTGCCTTTATTTTTTTGCAATAACATTTTCATTTCAGTACATGATTTGTGCTGTCCTCCATGGCTTTAGTTAAGATTTACGTATCTACTAATTATAATACATATTCTAAAACAGTATGAGAAGTGATTTTCAACATTCCTTTGACTGATAATGCCATCTTTAGCCATGATTTGGACAGGCGGATTTAAAAATCCAATCAGCTTGCCCCGTTTTGCCATGTTTTAAAGATGAACCTTTTATTGCTTAGCATTTGAATGGTTTTGCTCTGAGATTTTCTTTTTATTTTTACTTTCTTTCTTTCTTCTTTTTAATGTGCATTGCTTTTCAGAAGCCAGGTATTTCTGTAATGAAGTTACAGAAGTCTTTACCTTTTCTTACTTTTACTCAGCTAATTCTTGAAAAAAATACCATGCAATGTATCTTAATATCAATCCGTTACGTCATTTAGATTAATCTCATGATGATGGGATGCATGAATTTATTAGATTAAATTTGAATCTGCTCTGACAATACAGATTTAAATGTACAAATCAGTCTTTATTGGAGTTGATCTTACTCTTGAAGACAAATGTAAAACAGATGCTAGGAGTGAAGAGAGACATTACAGAAAATTACAGAAAAGTAGAATGAAGACTTAAAACCTTGAAAAACTTTGAAAGGTAGCCATTGTACAGTCTCTTTTAAAAGGATATTTGATCATTTTTTCTACTTTCAGTGTCTAACTTGAAAGTGTATGATATTTTTAATAAAGTGAAATCACACTGGAGTTATCCAGAGAAAATAAATGCCCACGGTGTCTGTGTAGATTTTAAAAGCAAATAACCTCCAAGAATCACTGAGATATTCCTAATGAGCAGCCAGCCTGCTTACCCATTTATCTTCTGCTAGCTAACCAAATAACCACTTAGAGCTTTAATGTGTTTAATAGCAGCCATGACTCTAGTTACTGGCTGGAAAATTTTATGAAGAATTTGGCCATTTTGTAGCTAAGTAGATTTGCTGCCATGGTGTGACATATAGACCTGCTTTCCCCTCTTGAGTGTTCCCATGCCATACAAGTCCTTATGGGTGGACTCAGTGCACTAGGGCACTCGTTGCATCCAGTGCTTCCAAAGGCACATTTCTGCTGGCAGTGTGCTGCTGAGCTACATCCATTCCCAAGCCCACTTCCTCTGGTCTGGGGTCCACTCTAAACTGGATCAGCTACCAGGAGTGCTGAGGGCCTATGTCAACCACTTTGCAGTCCCTAAAAGATGAGGATGCTCAGCTCCAGGCCAGCTTCAGGGAACAGGATTACTGAAAATCTGGTGGTTACTCCCCCCACAGTCAGCAGGTTTTCTCTGTGTACAGTGAAAAGACAGGGTACTTCTCCAGCCCCTGTTAAAGACTGCAGAAAGCATCTATGATATGAATACTATTTAAACACATCATCTAAGCAACAGCTATCTTAAAAAAGAAAAATAAGTGTAAATATCAATCATGGCTCATACAGGCAGCTATTCCAGGCTGTTACAGAGGATGTTGTTCTTACGTAGTTATTGCTTAAAAGAAGTGTAATTAATTCGCAAAGCCATTTTGTTCCAGCAATGTGTCTGGATGGCAACCAAGAGAGGAAAGATAGGAGTCTCTGCATAAGATTTTGACAGCCTTTCTGGGACATAGCAGTGTGTGTTTACACAGTGCATCCTGTACAGACATGAACTCACTCGAGCTGGGTTCTGAAGTGAGCACCAGGCTTGTGGCAGTGTTTGTATAATAGTGAGCCCAAGCTAAGAAAAGCACCTTTCGGCAAGACAAATGCAGCCACACAGATTTCTATTGTCTGGAGCACAAGAAGATCAAGCCCGTGGCTGCTCAGAGCTTGAGCTGAGCAAATCTGTGTCAGCTGGAATGTGCAATGTAAACATTCCCTACAAAGCTTCAGATCTGTGTGACTGACTTGTCTTCTGGTCAGTGAGTTTCAACAGATATTTTGGAGGTTTTTACTTCAGTGTGTGAACCTGAGAAAAAGAAGCAAGGATTTTGCAAACAAAAAAGAGGAATCATGAAGACATGAAACTTCTCAGGATTTTGTTATGTTTTAGCAATATTTTCTCATTCTTTGTGATTCTTTTTCCCCTAATGTACAATTGTACTCATTTCTAGTAATTAAAAAAGACAAACCTGAAAGACACGAAAAAGCTGAAAAGAAACCTCCTCCCAAAGGTATTTATTTATTTATACTACATTCTTTACCAGAATTTACATTAAAACATAAATATATGTGAAAAATCAGCTACTATAATGAAATTTAAATATAATTTGAATTACAATGTCTCTAGAAAATTCTGGAGTTAGTTCTATGATCCTTCTAAAATCTGCTGAAATTTCAAAGATGAGAATTAAAGGTGTGAACCGTCATTTCCTGGAAAAAGAAGTAGGCCTGTCTGATATGTACATTTTCGCTATAACTAGTTAACCAAATTGTTTCTTCATTAGCCATCAATTCTTGGTCATGCCACTGCTTTTTTTGGAAGTAGGAACGCCTTCATATAAATATCTGTATTCTGGTTTAGACTAGGTAGAACTGTTCAGTTTACATATTGATAAAATTGCTCTAGTCCACCCAGTGGCTTAATAGAAACAAAAGGCTAGAGCCTTACAGAAGACAGATTTTGAGGCTTACAGGTTTTGCTTCAAGGATGGAGACAGTTAAAGCGATGAAGAAAACAGGAGTGTGAACATCATGCTAAACAGATTAGTTTAAACCATATTCACTGGCATTTTAAACTACTATTGGATGTTCCACAGAAGTAAACTAGAAACACACATATTGTCAGCATCCATGTCTAAGATGAGAAAAAGCTTCTGATACAGGTGAGCAGAAAGAATACTCCTGGTCTCACCAACCTCTGTGTAGCTTCAGCCACTGGTATTTACAATTTGGTAATTCTCCTTGGAAACCTTCCATTCTACTGCAGGGTGCAATATGAATTGGATTGCCTCAGACTAGTCTTTCAGCCTCGGGAATTGGTGTATCAACTCAAGAACTCAAGATTTCTTGGGCAGAGAAGCAGAATCAGTGCACAAAACTAACCCTTACAGATAGCCACACTTTATACCAACTACTTTTACAGCTTACAAAATTTTAGCTCTGATCTCTAAAGTCTAAAGTTACTCAGATTTAGTCTGGGAGTACCTTACATTTCTTTTTTTTCCTCAATGGACTATATTTGCCTCCTTAGTTTATATGATAAAGGTTATCATATAGTCATTAGAAACATTTTATATAATTTGCCATAGCCTACTGTATTTAATATCAGACAAATACTTGCTACAGGACCAAAGACAAAAAAATGCTTGCATCTCATATTTCTGTCTAAGTCTGTCTGGTTTGGGGGATTATACTTTTCATCAGATCTGAGCAAACTGTTAATAATGAAGAAATACTTATTAGTGAAAGCACAAGATAAAATAAGTGATATTGAGTATTACTGGGGGGG